CTGATTCAGCCTGGAGACACATTAGAAATAAAACACAACCTATTGTGTGGCTCTGTGCTACCACAAAAAGCTGCTCCGGTGTTTTTGTGACAGGCCAGCATGAAGTCAGAAGGCAGCGTCACAGTGATGGTGCACGGGATTAAGCATCTAAACACAGACTCATTAGGCGTTTTCTTTTTCTGCCTTTTAAATTGATATCACTCCCAGCATCAGGGCTCATTCCCCGCCAGGGCAGTGGAAAAAATAACACTGAAAACCAGACACATGCAGGGTTGTGCAGTAATGACTTCCATTCATCTGCACAGCTTTTACCAAAACCTATTTCTACCAAAATTCTCTCCCTGGACTCTATTTGTCTATGTGTTTTCTAGGACCAAATTTGGGCAGAGTGGTTGGTGTTCCTGCCTTACAGCTAAAGAAAAATCACTGGTTTGATCCCCAGAACCTGGTGGTGACCTATATGGAGTTTACATATTAGTTTTGTTGTTGTCTGTAAACTGGCCATAGGTATGAATGGGAGTGTGTATGGTTGTTTGTTTCAATATATGCTCCAAACACCCCCCCCCCCTTCCTCCCTCCCTCTGTCAACACCAAGAAGTGTCAGACGGTATGAATGAAGGAATGTGAATCCTTACTTCGACCACAGCTGTGGTTAGGGTCTTCTGCCTCAGTACGACCAGGTCCCAGTCTTTGTTACGGCTCCTGTTACTGTCACGCTGCTCCTCCCGTGTCTGGAGGTAAAAGGAATGCATTTTAAACACATAATACTTTTAGAATGTTAATCACAGAAATATATTTGGCACCTCTCTGGGATTATAGAACCGCAGGGGAGAAGGCAGTAAACAAGACATTTAGTCCAGGAAAACAGAGACAGGCAGATGAGCCGCATTTGGAGCGTTGCTTATCAGTTTTTTTTTTTTTTGGAGACGGCTGTGCAGCCTGTATGCAGCCCACTCCTCTCTTCTGCAGTTCTTTTGTGCTAGCAAACTATAATTTAGTTGTACACGACAGTACTATGATTAATATGCAGCTGCGAGACACAAATAACATCACACCCCCCACAAAAACACACAGGCAGTACATTCAATCTAGATACATAACTGACAGGTTGATGCGAAGTTTTGAAAATCTACATATATATGCAGGGGGGGACATATTTGGTAATCAAATTATCAACACAAGCAGAGTTCTTGGAATAATGAAAATGTACTTTGTAGTCACCTCACAGCCTTCGGAGAGTAGAAAAAATGACTGATGCATGGATGTATTGATTCTTAATCCAGAACTGGCAGTGGGCTGGAGGTTAAAGAAGCTTTGCAGCTGGAATCCTGCCAGTCACCCTTACTCCATTTTTACTGGTAAATTGGATTCAGCTCTGGAACACAGGGATGAGTAAGGAATGGCAGTTAGGGGCTGTAATTTAACAGCAATCGTTGTCACCTTGCCCTTGAGCAAAGCATTTCTCTGTCTGTACTTGACAACCTCTCCAACTCAAGTCAAATCTACTAGATGTGGGTGAGATTAAATGGCCACAATTCATGTATGAATCTTTTTTTAACGAGTATCAATTAGTGGTCTGCGGGCTGAGTACAGCCAGCCGAACCGTCCAATCAGGCACAAGACTGGATTCCAAAATTGTGAGGATCAAATATTGTGCATTCACCACCTTTAAAGCAACTGAAAAAACAAATACTCAAGACTCGTATAACCATCACTAATCCTCCAAAAGGCCTGTCCAGAAAATATTTGGCCCTCTGACCAATACAGTTGGGGACCCTGGTCCATGTTTAATAACAGCAATAACAACATCTTCATTTAGCCTCCTCCTCTCCCCTCTCCCTCGCAGGGATGGCTACAGAAGTATGGCTACCTTCCTCGCACACAACCAGGAATGTCTGTCCTGCGCTCGGCGCAAACCATGCACTCAGCCATCGCTGCCATGCAACGGGTCTATGGTCTCAATGTCACAGGGACGCTGGATGAGCAGACCAAAGAGTGAGTATGCACATGTGCCGCAGGCAAGCTCCTGTCAACCACTAACTGCAGGTCCACACACACACACAACCACACACACACACCTTCAGCAGGCTGCTGATGTTACATTAATGCAAATGGTCCACTCCTGCATTTAGAATGCAGAGAGAAGGGCCATCAATATTTCAGAGTATTGGCGATGAACAGAAAACACAGATGTTCTTCTCCCACACTCTCTTCCATTTTTATGCAAACCTTTAATGAAGCAACCACGGGTGACGGTGTTAACACTTTTCCTTCTTCTCATTTTGCATGATGGTGCAGTGATATCACGCTGAGGTGAGAATAATGTTTCCCCTTTGTGTCAAGTGTTTTGTGCTGTGGTATTTTTGATGTGTTGTGAATGAAAAAAAAAAGAGAAAAAAAAAAAACATGAATGGCACCCAGGCAGCGATAACTGCTGAGTGTACTAGTACAACACGTACCTTTTGATGATCAAATATCTGAGATGTGATGTGAATACTGATCACTCCTTAAAACCCCATGGTGGGATGTGATTTTTTTAGTGTAGTCAACTTAACCTTTCCTCTATTCACAGAGTGACTTTGCATTAATTGTGTGCTTTTGTCCGATAGAGTTCTTTCTCACTGTTCGTTTTCCTTCACATGGCTCGGACATTACAACTTATAAATGTGAAATAACACGATTCACATGTTCGCATGAAAAACATCAAACATAGTGAAAGTACTATAAGCTCGTCTTTTTGTTTAAAGATGACAGTATTAAAATCAATAAGATCTATCTAAATATGCCGATAGAAAAAAAATATGTTTTTAGTTTAATTACTTGTTATTATATAATAAATATGCCGATAGAAAAAAAAATGTTTTTAGTTTAATTACTTGTTATTACAAATATTACTGATTAAACTCTGATGAAAAAATAACTAACAACTGAAGCTTTTCTAAGCTCTCCTCTCCTCTCCTCTCCTCTCTTCTCTTTTCTCCTCCTTTTAGTTGGATGCAGAAGCCTCGCTGTGGAGTTCCAGACAAGTTTAAAGGTTCTTCCAGGTCAAGGACTCGTAGATATGCGTTGACAGGACAGAAGTGGCAGCGTAATCACATCACCTACAGGTGAGACCACTGTGGAAACAGCTGTCGTTGACTTCGCTCGACCCAACGTTGTGTCACTGAAAACGTTTTAATTTCCGTGCGGCTGTTTTCCTTCCTCCTTCCTTAAACACCTGGGATCCCATGCCCTGTGTTGTCATAGAGACTGCACAGTTACGTCACAAATGCGGGGGCACATGCACAAAAATAAAGTCGTATTCACACATTCAGAAACACATAAATTAACACATTAATGTATCAGTGTGAGCTATGACTGTCTTTGGTTTCCAGTCTTTTAATAGTTGGCGCCTTGAAAAAGTGATTTGTTTTAAAGACCATATTCTTTCATATAAATATTTTAAAAAATGCCAGCTTCATTTTACCGAGATTGTTTCCTACTTTATCCTCAGCCTGCAGTGTGACATATTCAAACTCTCATCTTATTATTCCTGATTGAGCTCCACTTGTTTACATGTAGGTTTGGAAAAAAAAGGATAAGGATGTTTTGGGCACATCCGCAAATTGACAGGTTACGGAAATAATACACAATAACGCTGTCAAATAATTCCAATCCTTTTCTTCTCTCTTCAAATTTGAATAGTGAAGCCACCTCTTTTAATAGCATGCCAATCAGAGCTGAGCCGCGGCTGCTGCCGACTGCACTTTATTCATGAAAACAAGTGAAGAGTGAGAGAGAAGATTTTTCTTTCCACCATCTGCCGGAGACTGATAACGACTTCTGTGTTAAAAAGTTCAGCGAGAGCTGCCGGGCTTGAAATTGTTGTGTCAAGTGCAACTTGTTTAAAGTCCTTCGTTATAGAATGTAAAAAATGTTCACTTTAAATTAATGGAACAACAAAGTTCGTGGTCTTCAATGTTTTGCACCATTTGCAGCCAGCTCACTGTAATACAGCAGCGCTGCATCAGCCATCCATACAACGCTATTAATTTGGTTAATCTGATTTTTCCTTCCCACAGCATAAAAAATGTCACACCAAAGGTGGGCGCCCGGGAGACACATGATGCCATTAGGCGGGCGTTTGATGTCTGGCAGGGTGTGACTCCGTTACGCTTCGAGGCCGTGCCGTACAGCGCCCTGGAGACTGGCAGACGTGATGTGGACATCACCATAATCTTTGCTTCAGGTTTTCATGGCGACAGCTCGCCCTTTGACGGGGAGGGAGGTTTTCTGGCTCACGCATACTTCCCTGGTCCCGGCATAGGAGGGGACACGCATTTTGACTCAGACGAGCCCTGGACCCTCGGGAACCCGAACCATGACGGTAAGACAAGAATTATAGATGTAAATCATTTGAAATTCCATGGCACGGTGTAGAATGTTGTCTGCAGGGATGCTGCCCTCTGCCTGTGTGGGGTTCTTTATATATATATATATATATATATATATTGCAAAATTCAAATTTACCACAAAATGGCTTCACTACTGCTACATTATAGAATGGAGTTTTGACAAAGCAACTTCTATTTTTGTAACAAAACATTGTCCAATTCCTTTCATGGTGATTATAAGACATAAAACGTATGTAAATGAAGAAGTCGTTGATCACACATACATACAGTACAGTAACGTGCCACACCTGGCCATTAATAAAGCAGAACTAGAAAGGCTATAAGGAAGGGCATTGTTAGAAACACAAGTAGAAAGAAAATAGAGCAAGGGAAGACAAAGAGCGCAAACGTGTTCGAGACCAAATGCTGACAGGGTCGTAAATTGTCTGGGGAAAAAAAGCGAAGAGAGCTTAAAGAGAAACTGACAAAATACCAGTCAGAAAAGATAAGATTGAATGTAAAGCCAGCGATGAAAAGCAGATGGCCGTGCTGGAGGGCAGCAGAGCTGGTGTGTCTCAGCGCGGCGTAGGAGGGATGCTCATTCAACAACATCAACAATAACAGAAGCGGAGATGTTTTTGATGCTCTGTATAGATGCATCACTCCATCTGTCAGGACGCTGATGCTGATTTACTGCACAATGGCCTTGTCTGATGACAGAATAAAAGGCCCTGCTATCTTTGTGTGCTGCCATGTGGTTATGGCTGTTCTGCTGCATCTTATTGTTGTGTTTCAAAAGACCTGATATACAGTGTCTATATATGTGTCGTACCGTTGGCTGAACGTCATTAAAAATAGGCCAGATTTGCTTATGTAACAGTTCATGTGCGGAGCTATGCATTAATTAAACATTATGTTACTTTGTGTTTTGCAATGTAATGTTAAACTTACCATACATTCATATGTTTATTGCATATATTGGTCTTCTTGATGTATTTTCTGGTGGTTCAGCATTTTACATTGTTTTGTGCTGTGTGTATGCAGTATATATGTATATATATATATATATAGTATATGTATATATATATATATAGTATATACGTGGCTGCATCGACTGGATATTAGGCTGTGTTTTCAGAACACAACAGTGATGACACTTTGAGGGTATTTTAACAGCTGCAATGTTGAAGCACAAGACTACAATAATTAAAATGGAAAATTAACTCTGTAGCTTTAAAGTACATACTGTCTGTTTTGGGCAGTGGCTCTTTGCAAACACTTCCTCTGATTTTACTCACCTTCCTACACCAGACACTGGTACATTTGTTCTATTAGTTATTTTATTTTTATTTTTTTAATCAAAAAGCTGAGGAAAAAGCAACGCTTACTCACTTATTGTGATTGTCACCTTCTGTTATTTGGTGCCAGACATCAATGCATGACTGAAAAATCATAGTAAATTGCTGCAGTCATTGCAAAAAAAAATTAAACATTGTTGATTCCTCAGGAAGACATAGTCAGTAAAAATAATAACTGAGGATAACTGACATAAAAACTGAGGAGAAACATTTTTATTCTACAGTATGTGTTATTTGGTTGCACAATCCTGTGTAATATTGACCCAAAGTAGGAATATGGTGTGTGTTCTCCATCCATTAGCTGCCTCCTTATACACTTTATGTTCTTAAACTGCCTGGACTGTTGTTTTGACTTCCCCGGTGTATTTTTTTTTTTTTAGTGTTGTGGCCAATTGTTATCCACATACATGGCTGGGACTTTCTAAGTTCACATGTCTAGAGACTGGTGCAGCCATTAATGGAATTTCACAGCAGTGTAATAGTGTACATATCATTCTGACATGAGCACTAATGGTAACTGTGTCCAGTCACCTGGGAGTCCTGATGGGACCTTTCTACTGGACTGAAAGGTTGTTGTGTTAGGTAAAGAGGGAGGGGACGGTGAAACCTATTAGCTGCTGACTGATGGCCAGCGGTGCGTCGTCGCTGCAATGCTGGCAGGTGTGTTTATCATACTGTAAAGGACAACAATCTCCGGGGGACGGCTCCTGTCAGACGCGGTTCATAAATGGTGCATTTATTTTTGAATCAGGCTAACGGCACAAGGTCCTAGCCTGATATAGACACGGGCCGTTGTCACTGGTGTCATACTGTGTGTGCATGTACATTAAGGTTTGATGATGGTATTTGTATGTGCAGTTTCTAAGTCCGTGGTCTGAGGGCTGCTTGTGGCCAGAAAAGTTCTTATATTTGGCCTTTGACAATAGATGACAATAATAATTTGATTTAGATTTTTTTTTTTAATATTTAAATACTTTCGTTGATTATTCAAGATTTTAAAACATTTTTTACTAGCTGATTTATATATAACAAAAACAATGTATTTGTGTACTTGCTGATACCTCCTACGTCACTGATACTTCTGGGTTTCCATGAAAATATAATGTACTGGAAGGCAGTGTTAGTGTATATTCCAGGCGGTGTAGCGCTGTGGGAAATAGGGTGCGGCGTGTATGAGCTGAACCCAAACCACAGCGAGGACACCAAGCAGAGAAATGCTTACAGTCAGTTTTATTTTCTTCTCATTAACAGATGGCTATTTCAGGCCAAACGGAAACAAATCGTTCTGTATGAAACAGAAAGTCTTTACGCTGACGCTGGTGTCACATTAGAAAGTATCAATTCAAATAAGGATAAAATAACACAGACAGATGAACAGAGAGCGAACGTTACACCAAAACACCACATTTTAATGGAACTATCACTGTCACCGATGCTGTGTAGCACTATTTCAATGAACAAATGAACACACACACAATGCTAGCTGAACAAATCTGGCCTCGGTCCTGTCTCTTGTTGACCCACTAGACTCTTGTAGTAAAACGCTGGGCCACAGCTGGTTGTGGTGAAAAGATATTTTGAGTATCGGGGATAAAATACCAACGTAACCCACTGCAGGTATTTGGGCTGTAGTTTTAAACAAGATCCAAGAAAGTCTTCTAATCTTCACCAGTCAGACTCACAGATTTATGTTCAAACTAAATGCACATTATGGTGACAAATGATGCAGCTAAAAAACAATGCACTTTTATAAAAATCAAATTAAGTGTTGAGCACTTTGATATTTATATAGCCATATTTTATCAGTTAAACAACTAGTGAGCTATGTAGATAAATGCCTCCTTTTTTTAAAGATGGATTTGGACAACATTTTAATAAAGAATGGACCTTTACAGCCCAAACAAGCATGTATTCAGTCTCATGTCAGCTCTATTTGTTTTTCTTTGTCTTGCAGGTAATGACCTGTTCTTGGTTGCGGTACACGAATTGGGCCATGCCCTCGGTTTGGAGCACTCTAACGACCCCACTGCCATCATGGCTCCATTCTACCAGTACATGGACACAGAGAACTTCAAACTACCTCACGACGATCTGCAGGGCATCCAGAAAATCTATGGTAATTTTGATTTGGTCCTATTTTATATAAGAACAGAAGAGCGGGGCTGATAAATAAACACAACAATTCACGTTGGACCACATTCTTACACCCTTGTCTAAAGCTTTTTGTTTTAAAGTTAGGGGAAAAGAAAATATTTCCATGTTTCATTTATCAATCTAACAAATCAAAAACGAAGGCTTACCTTTGTGTTGGTGTAGATTTCCATCCTGACAGGAAGGGGCAGGAAAAAAGATGTTTTCACACCTTTTGCTGTGAAGCAAAATAGCAAAATTAATTCCTTTAAAAAGCTGCACAAAAAAGGTTTCAATGTAACTTCCTGAGAGTCATGTGACAATTCAAGGCCTTAGAATTAGTTAGTGCATTTCAAGTGATGGCTTGTGGATAATTGACAGGCCAAAAATGGCATTGTTGCCTAAAGGCAACACAGAACCAGGCAGGATTTGTACCAGATAAATAAAAGTTCACCACATGCCTTTGGCAATTTTTAAAAATATAAATTTGTGTTTTCTCAGCTACGGATTAGAAATAAGTTGTTCTGGGTAAAAGCAATCATTTTTATCCTCTTTTCACACCAATGTAACCATTGTCTTAGGTCCACCAGACAGAGCCCCGCAGCCCACCAGGCCTCCACCCACCGTCCCACCACCTCGTTTTCCCCCTCCATCAGACCCCAGGAAACATGACCGTCACGCCAGACCACATCGCCCGCCGCAGGGGTCCAAACCCTCCAACCCCAACTCCAAACCCAGCATCTGTGACGGAGGCTTCAACACCTTGGCCATCCTCCGACAGGAGCTCTTCGTCTTCAAGGTACAATAGATAATGAGGTGATGATGATGATGATGATGACGATGATGATGATGACGACGATGACAATGATGATGCTTTCTCCAACAGGACCAATGGTTCTGGAGGGTGCGTGATAACTCAGTAGTCCCCGGCTACCCCATGCAGATCAATTACTTCTGGAAAGGGTTACCTCCAAAAATCGATGCCGTTTATGAAAACAGCGAAGGAAAATTTGTCTTTTTTAAAGGTAATATTTCATTTCATTTATGTCACTGTTGTACTATGTCCCTGCAGCATTGTTTTATTCAGAGGTTTCCTTTGATGGAAAACTCTGGAGCACAGAGACGATATAATCTGTAATACAACCTATATACATTTTGCAGTATTATTTTTCCTGACACATGAGGCATTTTGCAGAAGAAGAAGAAAAAAAAATCACAGAAATCACACAGTACAGCATTGTATATTTTTCTTGGAAAACACACATCAGAAATAAAGTAGGTGTGAAGTCTTCTGAGATGAGGTGATATATTTCTTAACCATTTTTTATTACATTATAGTGGGCGACATTCAGGCTATTTTCAGTACGGTAACAGAACGGGTTCTCGTCTGGTACAAACATCCGTCCATCAGGCATATTAACATGACATCTGTCACTTGGAGGAATCAGAGCCTCGTGCTTCATTTATTCACTCACTCACAAGGACTTGTGTGTGTGTGTGTGTGTCTTTCTGTTTACTTCTCAGCTGCACTACAGCCACTCTCCCCACTGCTTCAGGCACTTGTGATCAATCTGAAATAAAAAGACAACAATTAATGAAAAAACTCACTGGTGTTTTTACCTCTGAGCGTCATCTTACTGTAACACAGTCAACACACCTGACCTCTGTGATCACATGAATAAAAATAACCCTCCAGGTGAAATAATAAAATATAGGAGGTTTGAATAAGCTGAGAGCCAGCCATGCTTACTCGAGATTTTCTTTTTTATATTGAGGTCATTTTTATGCTAATCTCTCTGTCCCTAATGTCGTTGTGTGTATATTTAAGGAAACCGTTTCTGGGTCTTCAAGGACACAACTCTTCAGCCTTCCTACCCTCAGGATATCTCACTGTTTGGGAGTGGAATGCCCACTCAGAGCATCGAGACTGCTCTCTGGTGGGAGGATGTGGCCAAAACCTATTTCTTTAAAGGAGACAGGTCTGTAAAAAAAAATATTATTACCACTGTGAGAAAGACTGACGATGAAGGAGAGTAATCACACAGAGTAAATAAAAATGTGCCACTGCAGATACTGCAGTACTGACTGAGTATGAGCAAAAGTCTCGACTTGATGCTGACAAACATGCAGTAGCATTTACTTTCGCCACAGTGTGGGGCTGTAGCATTGAAAGTATTGGCTCAGATGGATGGTTTTAGTCTGCTGCTTCAATGCATTTAACCTGATTTACTGACCAGAGTAAAAAAAGGTATAAACAATAAATGTTACAGAGCGAAGACCAGATTTAAAAACCCTGAAAGGTGAGGTCTAGAGTCAGGTCATGATCCAAGCATTTCTAGTCTGACTAATCTTCATTTTTAGGGATTTTACTCAAATTGCATCATATTCTATTAAACCAGACTCATATCCCATGGTTATTGCCAATGCAAAATAAAGTCGTGATCACTTCATACTCAGTCATTCAGTTATTCGTGACTGTGAGGTTTTTTTTTCGACGCATATTTTATTTCGCCAGACGCCCTTGCCAATCTGTCGTTAAGATCCTTTTTTATTAGCGTCACTAACTTCTCAAACAGCTGACGAGTGCTGCTTGTTGACATGCAGCTCATTGTGACCCAGTGTTCCAGCACCATTTGTTATGGAGATCATGTGATGTAAGACTCAAAGTCATTTTCTGTCATATGTTCATAATGAATTATTCATAGCTTGGTGTATGTGGGGTGTTTTTTTTACCTGCAGTTGAAAGTGGAGTCATTCCAAAAAAAAACAAAAAAAACAAAAAACAGCCAAATAAGCCAATCTGTTGTTTATCTGTGCAGCGAAAAAGTTACAGGTTTGACAGCGCATCAGTGTGACTCACATGTTTGTTCAGCTGTCAGGATTAATCACATCCTGAGAGGTCACACAGCTCTCAGTACTAAAGCCCCACTAACTGCCTGCTGGTCATGCAGCAACCCAGTAACCTGCTGGCTATTATGACAAACCTGACATTTGAACGTTGACTAATTTGGTTTCCAGGCTTAATTTTCCAACATTAAAATCTTAAATGAGGGCGGAAAGAAGCATGCTCATGTGTGTCATTAAAAAAATAAAGATAATTCTGTGTGACACAGCGTGCATGAATGACAATTTTCCCCGGACTTGAGGTTCTTATCATTTTCAACACATGTCCAGATGACTTGTTAAGAGTACTGTATGAAAAATAAATATCTTAAAGACAACTTAAAAAATGAGGTTAGTAAGTTCATTCATCAGGTCAGTAGAGGGTAGTGTTATTGCAATATAATAGAATAAGTCTTGCTGCGGCTAAAGCTTAGCGTCTAGCAGTGCATCACTAATGTAAACCTGTGTTTCTCCCTGCTCTGTCGTAGATACTGGAGGTACAATGAGGACATGAGGGCCATGGACCCAGGTTACCCCAAACCCATCAAAATCTGGACCGGAGTCTCCGCAGGGGGCTTTTGTGGACAAGGCTAACGGTACGTTCATTAAATGGTTAATTTGTGAAACTAAAGATGATAATGAGCTGAACATCATCACATGTTCAGTCTGCCACTCACTTCACAAAGGAAAGAAAATGGCAGAAAACCACATGACAGCATTGTTAAGGTAGCAAGTTAAGGCATAAAGATTGAACGTCAGTCTGTTGTCACAGCATGACAGGACGTGGCTGTGACAAAAGCTGATTCACAAGCAATTCTAAATAAAAACAACACAAATTTGAAAAAATAGTCCCTAAAGTACATTCACATATATTCTTCAGATATAAAAATAAAATTAAGGTGCATTTACGGCTGATGGCTTCGGCAGTGAGTACTACCTTTAAATGAATGCATTAATGCAGAAATAAAATATCAATATAATATGTTCAACCCCCCAAAAAAAATCCATGCAAATGTTGTGTGCAACACAGAAAACCTTTGAAAATATCACACGTCACGTTAAATATCAACACGTAAATGTATGTTTATGTGTAACGTTCTCTGCTCTGATCCTCCTGCACAGGGTTTACTTACTTTTATAAGGGGAAGGAGTACTGGAAGTTCAACAACCAGCTGCTCCGTGTGGAGCCGGGTTACCCCAGATCCATCCTGAGGGACTTCATGGGTTGTGATGGCCTGCCCGCAGACCCAGACTGGGACTGGAGCCCTCCAGTGGCAGAAGAGCGCCACTATGACAATGGCGATGCGGATGTTGTCATCAAACTGGACAGCGCTGGGGGCACAGAGAAAGCAGTGGCCATAGCCATTCCGTGTGTTCTGGCGCTGTGCATGATGGTCCTCCTCTACACTGTTTTCCAGTTCAGGAGGAAGAGCACAAAGCGCCACATACTGTACTGCAAGCGCTCCATGCAGGAGTGGGTCTAAGCGATCGTTGTACAGACAGAGATGTGAAGCTCTCATCAAGTTCTGGTTATTGCTTGAAGCCCTAAGCACTGTAAAGGCTACAGTCCATGTGGATTGCCATGTTGGCAGATTTTAAAATTGCTCGTCCTAATAATGTGCAAGCTGCGAGGAAGCAAAATGGTCAGCAGGAGTCGAGTGAAGACACTGAGGGAGCCACATCTCTTATGTGCAGCCAATATGTATGTATCTGCTTTTCTCTGTATCTGGGAATGAACTCAATTAAATGAGACAGAGCTAAGCTCCTGTACGAGGGACCTTTGTCTTTCCCTGTCTCTGCACGTCTCTTAAAAAAAGCCCCTTGCATTCACTTCAGTGGACAATTTAGATAAAAGCTTCTAACTTTAATGTTTCTTAACTCAATCATCCCGAGCTGTGCTTTTTATTTTCAGACTCTAAATGTTCCCTGTAAGAGATTATTCATTGTGTGGAGGACTAATACACAAACCAAATACGACCTTTTCTTCCAAAGAGGATAACTGCTCAGTGGGGATCGTTTCTTTTTTTTTTTTTTTTTCTTTCTCGGTGGGACAAATCTTGTGGCATCGTACTGGCATTTTTCCGTTCGTGTTCGTCCCATCTGCTCTGTAATCTGTGGGAATAAAAGAAAAAAAGAAAAATCAGTTAGTGAGTGAGTAAGAGCTCACTACTCAAGACTGTTGTGGCAGTCTGTCTCCAAACGGAGGCCAAAATCCTCTCTGCAATATCAAGGAGACGGCCTTAATCACAGATTGCTTACGTTTTTTGTTGTTGTTGTTGTTTGTTTTTTTCTCACTTCTTCTCTCTTTGTTGCTCTGGTTATTGAGAACTGATGGAGAAAAAGATCGGAAAATGTCAAGTGTTTGAAGAAAGGCATTGATTTGTTGCCATATTGCAATGTCAGGCTGTAGGGACTTTTCAATGCACTATGGAAACATGGCTTTTGACAATGTGCTGACGTGTGCAGAGTAAGGTGTGGTCATCAGAATTATTAACTGCCTTACAGAGGTCAAGATGAGACAGAGGGCAAAGGTGAGTTTGTGTGTGTGTGCGTGTGTGTGTGTGCCTGCTGATATTAGGATGTGAGGACCGGCTCTGGCTAATATAATTTGAGGACATTTTGAGACACCTAGCTTTAATGGTCGGTCAAATCTGGCCTAAGGTCACGGCTGAGGTCAGATTTATAGTTAGTCTCAGATATTTATTTGGTTTGGTCCAAGGTATGAGGGGACAGAGGGACTGCTTTATGTCCGCAGTATGACAAAAGTATCACAAAAAAATATAGTGTCTCGATGTGTGTGTGTGTGTGTGTGTGTGTGAAACAGTCATGACTAAACCACTAAGATCCTACTTTTGGGTTTTTACTGTCCAATTTGAACTTTTGAAAAAAATGTTACATTTTATTTCCGTTATTTTAAAATGGATCAACGTGTGCATTTATACTTTCATATTTTTACATTTTTACACAATGGTTTTGGACAGATTGTTTTGTTTAGTTTTTCCATTTTTATTTTTGAACTGTAATGTTGCAGATACAGTAGGTGTTGATAAAAAAAAGAATCATAATGAGTTAAAAAAACTAAAAAAAGCTGTGTGAATTTTGGACAGGACTGACTTAAGCCCTGTTACTGAACTAACACACTAAAAACTCCATTATGTTACATAAATAATGTACTAATAAGAGTTATTAGAGTTACTCTAACATTACCAGTATTTAGAAGCGTATCAGAAATCAGAAATAGCGAGACGTGTTTTAGTTCTGCATTTATATCATATCAAACATATTACATATATGACAGCGTATGTTTTCACTGGACAAAAATATCAGGTAGTAGTTGTGAACGATATCTGATGTGAAATAGAGAAAAAAAAACTGAACAGAAGCTTTTTCTTTCTTCCTTGTCATGTTTTATGAATGCACAACGCAGTCTAGATCTGGATCAAATAGACTGCATCATCATGATGCTGATGCTTTTGATCGCCTGTCGCAGATGGGAGTTTTTCAGGTGATCAGTCGTTCAGCTTTTAGAACTTGTTTAATATTTGTGCTCTACGTTTGCGTTTCTCTTTTGAATGAACTGGCCAATAGGATGAGCCGTCAGTCTGGACATGTCCTTTAAATCTTCCATCAACTCTGACTCGATGCTATCTTGTACCATAGCAGAGAAGCCTTTTGGGTTTTTTAAATATACATTTTCCCCCGTTGTATGATTATTTTGTACATTATTTGTAGAAATGTTTAAAGTTATCAAGGGCGATGCATGTCATTATTTAACAGTCTTTCTTTAAAAAAACAAAACAAAAACCGAGGACCATGGCTCATTTTGGGAATATTGTACCGAAAACTGGATTCACCTCATATGAACTGTGGGAAATCACTAGCTTCCAGTGTGTTCTGATCGTTTTGTTTCTTAAGAAGTAAGAATGTGTCCACACAGGAGGTAAAAGGGAAGAGATAGAAACCGGTGCACATCACTTGGCTAAGAATAATCCAAGGTCCCTGTGATATCGAAAAGACATCTGGGTCAGTGATGAAGGTTTGTAGTGAGCGTCTCATGGCTCCTGAGATGTTTAGATAATGAGGAGCGACGAGTCTGACTGTATTTATTGCTGTGTTTTTGCCCATAAAGGAACTGGAAATATATAGTTGGTTTAAACTGTGGTGCTTTTTTTGTACTGCTACCAGGTTTTTCCTCCTCTTTCTGTTCTGGCCTTGACTACAACTGAACCATCAGATGTATGGGAGTCTCGCCTTTATACTTCAATCATCAAATATCAAACAATTCAGATTTGGACTCGGTGCAGTAGGTGGGGAGTCTTAATAATTCGACCGATTTCTGTTTCTCTACAGATCTGTAGAGTTTTCTAAATTGGACCTTGGTACAGGCTAAGAAGAATTAGGGCTAACGTTTGACATCTTTAACAGAGGTTATGTCAATGGGGCTGATCAGAGACCGGTCGAGAAAATGATGCAGGAAAAAAAGATTTGGTTGGATCACGCGCTGACGCAACGCACACTCGAAGGTGGAGGAGAATTAAACAACAAACGATATGTACTGTACATAACAGAGTGTATACTGTTTGCTTGGGAGAAATGTGTTTTTATTTCAGCCGTCTCATGGAAAAAGAAAGTACTGTGTATTGTAAATAAAACAAGTGCATAACGACAGTGTCCTGTTCTATGTTCCAACATGTGTGTGTTTCAGAGAATGATTCAGTTTCTCTTTGAATATCACTGGAGGTCAGACCACGCACATGTAAACACAAGATCACGCACATCCCCGTGCCCATTTTAATAACCGGTGATAAAGGGATGAGCCGGATGTGATTCTCCACAGTGGGAGAGCAATGAACCTAACCATTAATAAAATATATTTATTAGGACTGGCAATCACAAGGTAGAGGTAGAGAAATTACAATTATTAACTTTGGTTTGCCAGTTAAAAAAATGATTGTAATTTAACATGTTAGTTGATAGATTAAATTTAAATTCCTATTAATTAAAATTCCAAAACATGACCAAGACAAAAAGAAATTCTGTGTAGTGTACAGCTGCTGGATCAGAGAGATAAAGAACATCAGCGTAATCTCTAAAATTCTGCATTTGCCCTTATTTTAGTTTCATTCATATCTTTTAGTTTTTTGTATAATTGTGTATTTTTTTGTTGTTTTAAATGCATTGTCTAAGTGTTTTGATTTAGGTCAGCTGTTTATTGGTTACAGTGAACACATGATGGAAAATCGATATAGATGAAATGATCTTTCATGAATGATGTCTGATTATCTTGTGTTTATCCTGTGCATGAGACAAACTGATATCATCACGTGAATATGAAAGATACTCTTGTAAACTCGATACATTTTTTAAGTAGCGCTTTTCAATTTAAAATTAAAGCTGCATTTATAAATATATATTTAACATTCATGACCTGAGCTATTTGATGTTAAGCAAAACGATGAAGAAAAAGAAAAAGATCAGATAATCCCTTAACTGTTACATCCTCTGTGAAAATCTGAATTAGTGCCACAGCAAAACCATTGTGATTTTTTCCTGCTTGGTTTTGAATTTACTTAATGAAGCGTGTCAAATCAGGGAAACACCATCACTCCAACACCACAAGACCACAGAGTCATGCTCTGAATCCAAATCAAATCAATTTCAAGCTACGTCTCCACAGCCACAGGTCCAGTCTGTGGTTGTGTATAAAAAGGAGCTCCACCTCAGCCTCAGTACAGATCTTTGGCTCTAAGACCTGCATCACTGTCAACCATGAACTCTCTGCTGTTGGCCTCTGTTCTCCTCACAGGACTCTTCGGATCCTACTCTGCAGTCCCTGTCCCCCCCGGTCCTGGACCTGTTCCTCCTGTTTACCATCCTTTCTGCAGAACAATGTGGTGAGTTTGGTAACTGAGTCTGTCTGTCTGTCTGTGTCTCAGTTTTGAAAACTTTAATTCCAATTTCCTTTTTTTTCTCTTTTGTCACAGGCTCTTTCCATCAACTTGCGTTGAGATCAGCACCACCATTGTGAAGCAGATTCAAGCTTTCAACCCCATGAATGGCTGTGACCAGTGTCAGTACAGGGTAAGAACAGCTCAACTGTAGGCAGTTCATACAAAGCCATATTAAAGTCATTAAGAACAAAAACCATAATGTTCTTTGCCATTACTGCCTCTTTTTTCTAGCTGGTGTCAGTCACCCCTCGATCCATCAAGGCAAACCACACTTCTGTTGACA